TTGTTGAGCCCCCTGTGTCCCCGCTGTTTCCACCAGCAGCATCAGCAGCAGCAGCAGCAGCAGCAGCAGCAGCAGCTGAAGCAGCAGCAAATAAACTCTTGCCAGTGAAAGAAGGAAGGGGGCCCCCTGGGGGCCCCCCATCTATTTCCTTAGAACACAGAGAAGGCTCCTCTACCCCCCGCAGCACACGCGGGGGCTTATGGGGGACCCCCAGCAGCACAGAAGCCTGGTAAGAAGCAGCGGAGCAGCAGGAGAGTGCTGCTGCAGCAGAAGCAGCAACAGGGGCTCGAACAGAAGGAGGTGACCCCGCCGTGCAGACCCCAGAAGCAGAGAGGCAGAAGGGGGCCTCGGATGAGGGGCCCACCGGGGGGGCCCCCCCGGGGGGCCCCCCGGGGGCACCAGGGGCCCCGGGGGCCCTTCTGTGTCTGCTGTAGAAGGCGAAGGAGTCGCAGGAAGCCAAGTAGCTGGCATTCTGAGTCATGACGTCAGGCGCTGCAAATGCAGCAATGAGGGGGTAAACGAGCTGAAATAAAGTTGAAATAGAATGTAAAAAGCAACAAATAAAAACAATTAAACCCTAATTTACAAAAAAAAATGAAAAAACGCCTTCAAATGTGGCACTGGGGGGCCCCCTGCGGCGGCGTCGCTGCGGTCGGCTACCTGTTGTTTTTTTCGGACCTTTTGGGTCTTTTGGGGGTTAAAATTCCCATTATTTATTCTACAAAACATAAAAAATCCAAAAAAAGAAAAAAAATACAACAAAATGATGCAAAAAGGGCCCCACAGTGCGGCCGCCGCCGGCACCGGGCGTGCTGGGGTGTATACGCAGCTTCCGCTTGTGGTCCAGTGGTGCGGGAGAAGGAAACTCTTTTTATTTGAATTTAAATTCTTTTTAAATCAATAAATATTAATTTAAAAATAATTTTTAAACACTACAAAAAATAAATTTCATTTCGGTGCTTTTTTCTCAAACAAATGGTTCACCCTCGCCGCAGGCAGCCGCAAACCCTAAACCCTAAACCCTAGACCCTAGACCCTAAACCCTAAACCCTTCAAGCCCGAATATGAAGCGTAGAAGAAGACAGAGCTCAGTGGGTTTTACTGTACGAAGAGGCCTTTACCCTGAACCCCAAACAACTCAACCCCTAAAGCCTAAACTATACACTCTAATACAAAACCCTAAAACCCTAAACCCTAAACCCTAAACCCTAGACTCTAAACCCTAAACCCTCAGACAGAGTGCTATGCACTGCACGCCAAACCCTAATGCTAAGCTCCCAACAGTTCTCTCAAATAAACCTTTCCGCTAACAGCCACAGTCTGCAGCATTGATGTTCTTGCTGCTGCAGATGCTGCAGCAGCAGCTGCTGCTGCTAGAGCAGCAGCTGCAGCAGCAGCTACAGCAGCAGCTGCAGCAGCAGCTGCTGCAGCTGCTGCTCTTGTGCAAAGAGCTCAAATAGTTTTGTCGTACTGCAGCAGCAGCACCAACAAGAACCTGAGAAGACGAGGAACAGCAGCATTTGCTGTTGCTGCAGCAGGAGCAGCAGCAGCAGCAGCAGCTG